GAAAAAAAGGGCTGTGCTATCACATTTTTCACTTCGGGATAACACCTTTCTTTTCTTGTATTGAATTTATCTTGTTCATTTTAGGTCAATGTTTAAATGTACGACACTTTGAACATGTGATTTGGTTACAAAAAGTATTTGTCGTATGAATGAAGAGATTGCTCAGCGGTTGATTAGTGCCTGAGCTGCTGCCTGCAGACAGCTGTGACCGGGGCTAGAGAGAGGTTGGATAAACCAGGAAGGATCTTAAAGACAGGCCGCAGGAATTCATGGCAGAAAGACCCAAGAACAGTGTGAGCCACATCTGTATTTTATCAGAGTCCTGAACATTTACTCTTGTGATTTAAGCAGTTGATGATTGGAGCTTACTCTATTTTTTTTTTCTTTTTTTAATCCCTGTGTTTGCTCCTCTGCCTGCACACGCTGTAAGCTGCGAGCAGGTGGAGTGTTTGCCCGCAGAGGTGAGGCGGTGGCAGCGCGTCTAGTCCGTTTTGGGTGAGAAAAGATACTGAGACATTAGTCTCTATAAAAGTTCCTGATGTTACTATAAAGGGGAGGTTACTATCATATCCCCAAAGCAGCAATTAAGTGTAGAAGGTGACGATGAAGTGTAGAGCTGCGTTGCTGGGATGGGTTTTCTGTATCTTGGGTGTTTTGTGGTCTGTGGTTTTTTTTTCCCTGCTGCTTGAGCTGGCTGTTAGGTGTAACCCCCGCGTGCAGCCTGGGCTGTGCTCCCCGCGGGGACGTGGTGCCCGGTGGCTCGCAGGGCAGCGCCTCCGGGGGCACAGCGAGCCCGCCGTGGCTGCTCGTGCACTCCGTGTGTGTGTGAAAATCATCGGAATAACCCGTCATACACAGTTGTTAGCTGAACGTCTCCTCTGGCAGGAAGCTGTTGGTGCTTTGTGCTCAAGTAGCAAGTCCGTGATTTGTTATTAATTGCCTCTTCACTGTCTGCTCTTTCAGCAGTTATTCAAGCTGAATTCTTTGCTGCTATTTTAACATAAAAATAGTTCAAGAAGTAATTTCAGCCTTGCTGTTTCAAAGTGGATGTTTAATCAGCAATCATTTTATTTTAATCACTTTTAATTACTGGCAGGGTGGTTACTTCCTATGTATTTTTTTAAGATAGAAAAAAGCATGAACCATCAAGTGTTTTTAACTGGCAGGTTTTTTTACTGGAGGCACTAAGAGTCTGGGCAGCTCTATCAGTGGACATTCCCCTAATTTAGATAAGTTTAACTTTTTTTTTTTTTTTTCAAAAAAACCTGCTACTGTGATTTTGATTTAGGATATAGTTTCTAAAATGAAAACTTGTCTGAACAGATTTTTCTACTCCTATTATGTTTCCAGAGTCTTCAAAAAGAATAGCGAACAAGTCAGAAGCTTGCATTTGTCTTTAAAGCAGAGTTTAAGCCAGTATTTGAGTAGCAGGAAAGGTGATTTATTAAAAAGCAAAATCAAAAAAAGTTGTTACTGGACTAAAAAGGCTGCACGGTTTCCCCCAAAGGTATGTACGTGTGCGTGCAGGCATGCACTTGCACATTCATTAGGAGAGTTGTCACTGTCAGTTCTTGGATCTCGTGTCTCTGCATGGTGAACTGTTGGGTTACTTTTTCAGGGTGGTTAGAAGAAAGAGGAGCACAAGGGATCGTGGACATTTATCTGAGTGGCGGAAGCAAGAACGAGGAGAATGAATTGCTCTGCGTGCTCTGAGCTGTGAGTTGTAGGTGGAAGGTGGGAAGGAGAAATAGCACTGGTGACTTCTCATCGGTGCAAAACTCACTTTCAAGGAATAGGTGTGGTTGGTGTTCCAGAACACTGGGGCCAGCTCCGTTGTTTTAGAAGTTAAAAGGAAACTAGTACTGAGATGCTTTGTTTGGGTTTTTTTTCCAGTTTGGGTTAGTTTTGGGGATGGGATGTGAGCACTTACATTCCTGTTCAGACCAGCCGTGCCCGTTGCATGTGGCAGCGGCCACCTGAGCCCGCAAACAGGCGTCTGTCCGTGCCGCTGTGGGCTTGGGGCCAGCCCGGAGGAACGGGGTGAATCACAGAGTCAGCGAGTTGGAAAGGACCTTGAGGATCATCCAGTCCAACCGTTAACCCAGCACTGACAGTGCCCAACTACACCATGTCCTTCGGCGCTAAGTCGATCCCATGTTTAATGTTCAGGTAGAAGGAAAATCGTGTCAGCGGATAAACTCCTGTACACGTGTACTTGTAAAATTCTCCAGTGGAGTGCGGGGCCCTGAAGGGTTACACAGGGGAGAGGCTTTTCCTTTCTTACAGTCTGTATAGGGATGTAAATAGGCGGTGCCTGTATATTCTAGGATTATATATATGTATATAGTGGAATCGTACCTATTATATATAAATAATTAGTAGACACATGCATAGAATAATGTTATATTTACATTTTTATAAACCTGAAATAATATTACTTTTCCTTAGTACGAGGTTATTTACGGAGGTTTTTGTAGGAACTCGTAGTTGTATAAACACCTTTCAGTACTGTACATGTGGCGCTGTTGGTAATGTTGCTCCAGAAACGTGCTCTGCTTGTGAACGTCCCCAATATCCACGGGTTGAGAAGAACCGTACACTTTTGTATTTTTATATATATATTTTTATTAATAACGGCGGATGTGGTGTTAGCAAAGCAGGAGGACCGCCAGCCTTGGTGGAGAGCCTGCCCGCTGGATGGGCCGAGGGAGCGCGGCGGCCACGTGCTCCCCCCCAGCCTCCCTCAAGCGACTCCTGATTTCGGGACCTTTCCCCTTCTCGGTCTCCCGGCAGCTCCTGCCGACAGGGAGCAGTGGGGGCTGCACTGCACCGGGGGAGCTGGACTGACCCCAGCAGCTCTCTCCTGGTGGAGGTTATTCATTGTTCTTGAATAGCAGAGGGTCCCGGCTGCTGCTCAGCTGGGTTGTGTTTGGACCGGGAAAGCGAAGCTTCATCTGTCATTCCTCTTCATTCTCATAAAGGCCAGGCATCTTTTAAAGGTTTTTTTTTTACTGACTTTTGTATTGAGCAGTCACTATCTAGACAACTCTCTCCTTGAAAGCTGGCGACAGCTTTCCTCGGTTTGTAGCCGTGAGGAACCCTGCCCTGACTTGATGTTGTACAGATTGTGTGAGAAATTGAACTCTGCAAGAAATCCAGATCATAAAACGAACAGCACGGCTCTGCATGCTGGGGGGGTGTGTGTTCCACTGGGGTTTGACGTGGGGTTGGACAGACGTCACTGTCCTGGTACGGGCTCTAGCAAAGCCCCTCTGCCAAACTGACAGCCAGTGTCCTTATTCCTGCTCCCCGAGCCATGGCTTTGCAGGGCTGACCTCTGCTCTTCCCAGAGAGCTGTCACTTTTGCTTAGTTTGTGATCGCCTGGGAACGTTCACGCCTGCTGGGACGAGGGTGAGGATTTCCCTGCGTGCGGTGGGACGCTCGCCGGCGCTCCGCGGGCGCCTGGTTCAGAGCTGACACGCGGCAGCGGCGTTAAACCCCCGTGGGGCTCCGGGGTTCGGGTGAGCAGAGGGCCCCCCCGTTCCCATCGCGTGCGTGGCCTCCGCTGCTCCTGCCCCCCGGTGAGATGGGTCTGGGGGTCCCCGCGTCGGGGCGCTTCGGGGTGTTGCAGAACTGGGAACAACATTCCTGTATCCTGCTTAGACCACAGTATTCCTGAAGTTTGTTTTTTTTTTTTTTAAATTTTGGACACTATTTGAAATGAGGCGATTTGATATTTTGAGCTCCTCATTAAGGAGTAAGCTCCAGGCCCCTTCAGAGCAGAGCCTTCTGCCTCTAGCTCTCCCTCCAGCTGCATCGCTGAGTGGCTTCACCCGCCTTTCTGCCATGGGCTCCTGGCGCACTGCTCCACCGCTGAGCTGCTCTTCCCCTGTCCTGCAATGTGAAAGTAGCACCAGATATTCCTTTGTGCATTTCTGTGTATATGGCTTTCGTAGTTGGGATTTTCAAAGCACTGATACCCGGTGTTTTCAGTTTGTTCTATGAGGGGATATTTTATTTGCATCTATGTTTTTAGCTATCCTGTGATAACTTGTTGAATATTAAAAAATAAAAATATTTTGCTTCTATTGGGACATTTGTATACTCGCAACTATATTTCTGTAAACAGCTGCAGTCAAGAATAAAACAATGAAAGTTTTCATTTTGCAGTGTAAAGTCTTGTTGTGTTTTTTTCAAGGGCATCTGCTCTCTGCCAGGACAAAGTCCTGTTCTTGAGGACGGAATCAGCCCGTCCAGGAACCTCTTGGCGCTGGGGAAGGCCGGAGCCCACCGCGTCGTGCCAGGGCGGGGGGCGTCCCCCTGGAAAATGCTGCCGTGTCTCTGCCCGCCTGCGTGGCGTTAAGGTAACAGTCGTGGTGTGGTACCCCAACCCCAGCCTGCGAATCTTGGGGCCTTCGAGGAAATGGGTTTCAGTCAGCCCCAGGCAGGATTCTGTCTCTGAGGGACCTGGGGGAGAAGCGAAGGTCTCAGGGGCTGTGCTGCCCCAGTAACGGGAGTTTTGGCCTCGCTGGCGGAGTTGGTGCGTTAGCACGGTCCCACTTCAACTGCACCGAAGACACAGATACACCAGCGTGCTATAAATGAGGTGGGGTGGCTGAGGCTCGGGTGCGTGTCCCACTTTGTGCTGCTCACCTGCCAGGAGCAGGAATTCTGAGAAATTACAGCAGGGCTAAGAAGAAACTGGGAAAGAAGGAAGCAGATTTATCCAGGCGGCTTCCAGCAGGGTTCTGCCTTGCCTGGTGCCAGGGTCAGATGTGGCCGTGCTGCAGCGGGGCAAACGCAGCCCCCCCCGCTGGCTTTTGCCCTCCTGGAGCTGCTGCAGGCGCTCGTTACCCACCCCCCTCATCGGCACCGTGGGCCAAAGCACGCTGAGAAAAACCCTCCTGCCTCCGCCTCCTCTTCCTCTCAACCTCAGAGGCTTCCCCAGCCTGTCAGCCTGCTGCAGGCAGCCCCAGAAAGACCAAACCACGGTGTTCGGGGGTTTTGTGTTTTATTAGCGCTACGGCAGGGAAGCCGCTGTCTCGCCCAGCTCCCCACGGGTCGGAGTCACCCCAAACCCGGTGCCTGTCACCCCCAGTCACGGCTGCGTGGAAGGGGAGGCCCAGCCCTGCCCTCGGAAGAGGCCTCACCCCGCCGCAGCCATCTGGCAGCAACATGCAACGCCCAGGCGTGTGCAGAGGCCTTGTCCCACCCTTCACCTCCTCTTCACAAACTTCTTCGTCACGGCGTTGGGGTTCAGGCGCCTCCTGCCAGCGCCCAGGGCCGCGTCGCGGATCTGCAGATTGGCCGCGCGGCTGTAGACGTCGTTTTCCGCAAAGGGCGAGATCCCGGCAAGGTAGTCGGGGTCAAAAACGTTGGTTTTCTGCCTGGCCTTGCGGGACAGTCGCTGCTGCGGGAAGCGCTGGTCCTCCACCAGGTGCGGGTTGTTGGCGTGTTTCCCTCCTTGCGGCGCCGGCAGCGGGTACTGCCAAGAGAAAAGCGGCGGTTAAAGCCGGCTCAGAGGGACCTCGAGCTGACTGCAGGCCTCCAGAGAACCGAGCGAAGGACGCACTGCCCGCAGGCCAGGCCTGGGACACGCAGCGACTCACCCGGAGCCCTCGGGGGTTCAGCACCTTGGGGTTGCGGGAGAAATGCATGTGGAGGCTCCCGTCCTCGCTGACGCTCACCGCGACCTTCTTCAGCGTCTTGTTACCGCAGTGGGGACAGAAAACCTTGGTCATGTCCGAAGTGGTTCTGCAAGACCAAGGGACGGGCTCAGCCCCCCAGGCGGGACCATCCCCGGCGGCCGCTCTGGGCACACACGCTCACCTGAAGCAGCCGTGGCAGCGCAGGATGTAGCTGCGGGCCTGGCGGATCAGCATGCCGTTCACCGCCAGCACGGGCAGCCCCAGCTGCAGCAGCACGTTCTGCAACGAGGAGGAAGAAACTGGGACACCGTGAGGTGGGACTGCCCGGGGCTTTAACCGGGCTCTGCCAGGCCAGGCAGCGGGAGGCCGATGGGCGCGACGCCAAAGGCCTCTGCAGTGGAGAGAGCAGCCTGGTTTTAAGGTAAGAAGCTGCTCTCCTCCCGCCCAAGGGACACGGCAGCATGCTCCTCTGTCTCCGTGCACAGTTTGACCAGTGCCAAGGTTTGAGTAATTTGAGATCTGCCCTCAGCCCCCCGCCAGCCCCCTGAGGCTAGAGCCGGGCCCAGGCTGGCACCCACCTGCATGGCAAAGTCAGTGGTGACGCAGCCGACCTGGACGCCGACGGGAGCGGTGTCACAGTGCCCCGTGTCCTGCTGCGCCTGCTTGAGGTTGCTGGGTGTTATCCAACCCTCGTCATCACTCTCTTCCTCATCCTCCTCTTCCTCAGTGCTGGCCCCATCCTCAGAGCTCTGGTGCTCCTCGGTGGGCTCTGGGCTAACGGAGAGGCCTTGAGATTTCTGGGGAGGGGAGGAGACCGTTAGCCACTGTGCAGGCCGTGCTCTGGTCTGGAAGGGCCCAGGGGGACAGAGAGGCAGCTCTGGTCTCACCAGCAGCTCCTGCAGCTCCTCCTCGATGCTGGGCAGGGGCGTTCGCCAGTACAGGAAGGAGCTGAACTCGTCGCTCTCAGAGGGGACCGGGCTCCTCTCGGGGCTGGGCTGACGCTGACCCTTCCCTGGGTGCTTGTGCTGTTGGGGGTGACACAGGAGAGGGGGGCTCCCTCGCCTGCTGCTGCCCGTGGGCTCTGCGGGGCCGTGTCCCCCTCCCCAGGGCCCTGTCCCCGTCCCTTACCTTGGCGGGCAGGTGGAAGCCGGCGACGTGCAGCGGGGCCTCGGGGTGCCGCGGGGTGGAGCTGAGCCGCACCTGGGGAGGCAGCGTAGTGGGGGGGGTGTCGGCGGGGTGCCCCGGCGCCGGGCCCTCACC